GCATTTTCTTCTCCAAATCAAACCAGCTTGCATATAGTCTCAAGATGGCTCATAGAGTTAAAGCCATTAGAGAGAGACTAGATCAGATTGCCGATGATAGAGACAAATTTCACTTTAGTGACCGCCCTGTAGAGTCGCTAGTTGAAATTATGGAGAGGGACCAAACTCATTCCTTTGTGCCTGCAGACGATATAATTGGAAGAGATGGTGATAAAAAGAAAATTATAGAACTGCTGCTACAATCCAAACGAGAAGAAAATGTTTCAGTTGTTCCCATAATAGGGATTGGAGGATTAGGAAAGACCACATTAGCTAAAATGGTCTTCAACGATGAAAATGTTGGAGAATATTTCCAGCTAAAAATGTGGGTTTGTGTCTCAGTGAAGTTTAAGCTAAAAGTCATTGTGGAAAAAATCATTGAGGCTGCAACTGGAAGCAAACCTGTAAAGGACCTCCAGATGGAAACACTGCAAAATATTCTTCGAGGCAACATTAATGGAAAGAAGTACTTGCTAGTTCTGGATGATGTATGGAATGAGGACTCCCAAAATTGGCACAATTTGAGAAATTTGCTATTAGGTGGTGCAAGGGGAAGTTGGATTGTTATCACTACTCGTAGTAGGCGGATTGCAAAAATCACAGGCACAGTTTCGCCACATGTGCTTGAAGGATTGTCAAAATGCCAATCTTGGTCACTACTGAAGAAAAAGGCATTTGATGACGAAAGCCACGAATCCAATGGTTCACACTTTGAAGCAATTGGAATGGAGATTGTAGAGAAGTGTAAAGGGGTCCCTCTTGCCTTAAGGGTGATAGGAAGTCTACTAGGTGAAGGAACAGAAAGTCTACTAGGTAAAGGAACAGAAGAGCACTGGTTAAAGGTGAGGAATAATTTTATTAATCATATAACTCGACCAGAAAGTGGCATTATGCCAATTTTAAAGTTGAGTTATGATCATCTTAAACCGCATTTGAAACAATGTTTTGCTTATTGCTCTTTAATTCCGAAGGACACTGAGTTTGAGGTTAAAGATTTGATCATGGATTGGATGGCCCTAGGGTTTATCCAGCCACGAAGTAGAGACGAAGATCTAGAAGATATTGGGCATGGTTATTTCATGAATTTGCTTTGGAGATCCTTTTTTCAAGTTGCAAAAGAAGATGATTCAGGAAATGTGAAGAGTTTCACAATGCATGATCTAATGCATGAACTTGCATGCTCTGTTGCTGGGAATGAGTGTTGCATTGCAAGTCTAGAAGCAGAAAATGTAGATGAAAGAACTCGCCATGTGTTATTTGAAGATGAATTAGATTATTCTTGGGAAATTCCAAGCGCCTTGCTCAAAGCAAAGAGAGTAAGGACATTTTCCCAAATAAGCGGTGGCTACTTGAATCAATCCAATTGCAATGCACTTACGACTAATTTTAAGTACCTACGCTCTTTGAATTTGAGTTACGTAGGTATTGAGAGGTTACCGCATTCCATAGGCAAATTGAAACATTTAAAGGCTCTTTTTCTTAATGGAAATAAAAATATTAAAAAATTACCTAGTTCTTTATCTAGGCTACAGAATTTGCAAACATTAAGTCTTTCTTATTGCTTCGGACTTGAAAAATTGCCGAGCAAAACAACAAGGCTAGTTAACCTCAGATATCTTTATATTGATGGTTGTTATAGTTTGGCTTACATGCCACGTGGACTGGGGCAACTAATTTGTTTGCAAACGTTAAACCAGTTTGTTGTGGGAAAGAGAGGCAAAGAAGTTGGTGAGTTAAGGGAATTGAATGGACTGAACAACCTCAAAGGAGAAATATATATTTCTTCTTTACAAAATGCTATTCCAGAGCCTGGATCTTCTTAGTTGAAAGAAAAATTGAATTTGAAACACTTGAAATTGAGCTGGAGTGATGATGAGGAGGAGGAGGACGATGATGCAAGTAATGAGAAGTCTGAATTGGTTTTTGAACGCCTCCAACCACACCCAAATCTTAAGAAGCTTAAGGTGAATGGGTATCCAGGAAGCAAGATTTCAAGCTGGCTGTCTTCCATAACCAATTTAACTCTACTAATTTTAGAAGATTGTGTTGAATGCAAGCTTCTGCCACCACTGCATCAGCTCTCTTCCCTCAAATTTCTTAGGCTTTCAGGATTAAAAGCTTTGGAGAATGTGTCAGAGATTGAAAAGCAAAAGGAGTTGTCTTCTTCAAAATCAACAAAATTTTTTCCATCCTTAGAGGAACTTGACCTCAAGAATTGCCCAAATCTTAAGGGATGGTGGAGGGTTGATGTTGATGAAGCTTCAAATGCACAGCTGCCTTGCTTTCCTTGCCTTTCAGATTTAAGAATAGAAAGCTGTCCTCTTAATCTAATATCTATACTGCTGTATCCTTCAGTCACAACGCTGTGATTGAAAAGAACCAGCTGGAAGCAACTCCAACAGATATTGAAGTTGAAGATGACAACTTCAGAAGAACCATCATCTTCTTCGTCTTCTTCACTTTTCCCTCCTTTCTCCAAATTGACAAAATTGAGGCTTGAAGAGATGGAAGATATAGATTCTCTGCCAGAGGAGTTTCTGCAAAACCTAACTTCTCTTCAGTCTTTGTCCATTTATAGATGCAGTAACTTGACATCAATGCCAAAGGGGATGCAATGTCTGACCACTTTAAAAGAATTGTACATTTGGAGATGTCCCCAGCTATCGGAAAGATGCCAAAGGGGTATTGGTGTGGACTGGCCAAATATTGCTCACATTCGAAATATTCGGATTGGTAACATTTAGGAACCTTCCATCGCTTACACAGGTTAGGCTAAAATTCAATCTTCCAGCAAAATTTAAGCGTCACTTCCTTTACTATCTTCTCTTTTTTCAATTATTATTCTTGCTTTACACTTTGTTAAAATAAAAATAAAAACTTGAAAATATGGGACTTGGGTTGGAATCAAGCCACTCCTTCCCTTTGTAATAGGGTTTTGCCCTCCTATAAACAAAAAAAATAAATATAAAAGTAAAAACTGAAAGCTATTTTTGGTAGTGCCTAATGTAATAATTAATGTAAAATGAATAAAATTGAACAACAATGTTATATATTAATCTGACTTAAGAATAATAAAATAATTTAAAGAAATTGATAAGTTACTGATTAATGTTTAAATGGATGGAAACCATCTTACTTTTTTGCAGCTTCATACTTTGTTTTCAATAATTTTAACATTTATATGTTACTTCTTAATTGTTCTCTTATTATTGTGTTTTAGTTATTTATTCATCTAATAATTTGTATATTCATATTGTGTTTGATTCGTATAAAATACGAAAATTATTGTCATAAAATTTGTGTTAACGCGCTAAACACAAATATAATTTTTTTATTTTTGTCAAATTAATTTATGGTTCATATTAAAATTTTAAATTGTATCATTTTTTATATTTTTTGTATTTTTTCATGTTGTGACTAAAATTATTGAAATTTTTTTGTGCTTATTTTCTTTGATGTTAAATAGTGGTTAAAACTTCAATCAGATTGGTTTGAATAAAATGAAAGACTGTGCATCATAAATAAAAGCTAATAAAATTGAAGTTGGAATAATATATTTTTCAATTTAATTAAAATTTTACTTTTTATTCATGCTTATTATGTCACATACCTTTTCACAGACTGATTATATTTGTGGTTGTTGATTGATGGGAGCTAATGAAAGGATATTGAGATGATATAATTTATTTTGTTTTCAGCTTGGGACAGATTATTTCATGGCCTAGAACAGAGTGAGACTTGATTCTCTAGCTGCTTCTTGTTTCAAGAATTAATATCATCCAATTCTGAAGCTCTAAGTTTTACCAATTGAGGACTTAATCCAATTTTATATTATTTTGTGTGATTTATATTATATATATATTTATATATATATATATATTATATTGAGTGTTATTTGATTGTGCTTGTATTTTTTATTATGTAACTTCAGTAAAAAGAAAAAAAAAAAGATGATTGTGTGGATTTTATGCAATTATATCTTTATGACAATTGAAAGTTATGAAGCAGAAGAGATTTCTTTTGAACTCAGAACTCATTGATCCCTCATTGTTCAACCCAAAGCTATGATCCATACAGACAAATCTTTATATGATCATTTTTTGTAGAGAGGAAAATTTTGGAGTTGCTCCTGCCTGCCTTTCTATTTTTGTTCTTTTGCTGGTGCATTATTTCCAATATGCCCATATTAAAGGAAAAAAAACATTTCATTTGTAATTTTGAAGTACATTTAAAAATCAATTAAACCAACAACCACTTCATTGTAGAACGATTTATTATCACAGGTTCGATAGGCCATTCTCAATAATAGCCATTGAATTTGTCCAATTCATCTGAAGCAAGAGCTAAGCCAAATTCAACCCCACCTTTCCCATCATCCCTGCTCTCAGCAATTGAAATCGATCCTTTAGAACCAACGTGAATTACCTCACTCTTTGTTGGTCTTCCGAACCCAAAATCAGTTTCATAAACTCGCAATTTTGGTGATCCAGCAAGTGATATAAAGCGTTCACATTCACTGAGTACCTCCTTTGCCCTTGAAATCCAATTCTCTAAACCCTTTCAATGGTTCTTTCTCCAATTCCTGAATTTCTCTCCCAATAGCGTTTGCCGCCACAAAAATCCCGTTTTCTCCAATCATTTCACTTGTTTTTGCTGTTACAAAACATGGTTTCAGACAGTTTCCAAAATAATTCGTGTGTAATCTTAGGCGATCTCTACAATCAGCTAGAAAGCCCAAGAAACAAATCGCTTTATCATTTCTTAACAATTGATCAGGAGTTTTATTACTTTGATGTAATTTGATCAAACAAACCCAAATGAAAGCAGTGGTTACCACGAATGTTGACGATCTCGGATGATCCTTCTCGTTCTCTTCCATACACTTTATATCAATCCATTTTTTGAACATCTCAACGTGGGATTGGCTGATTACAAGCCAGATTCGAACATTGTCTGTTGGAGGAGTACTCATTCTCGTTAAAATCTCAGCATCAAACAATTCCTTGAGAAAAATGGACCAAATCCCTCGAGGGTCTTGGATCAAATCCCTGCTATAATCAGGTGGGGAATTCTTAACAAAAGTTAAGTCCCCTAGTGACCTACAAATCGACGCCCATTACTTGGGGAAATGATCAAAGGCCATCCCATCAGCTGCAACATGACAAAAGGTAACCCCCATCGAAATCCCAACATCAGGAATGATAGTGACTTGGATGGCCATGAGAGGCTGCTGCTTGCAAAATTGTCACCATCAGAGCACGTACTTGGCAATGGCAATTTCGGGATGAGACCTACTAATTCCTGACCACGTCGTGGAATATGATCATTGACGGTGAGATGCTTAAACTCTGCTGTCGATTCAGTGACAACAAAGGGTACAGAATCACCATCGGCATAGTAAATATAAGGTCTTTAAGATGTGGGGGCAACTTGAGATTGACTGCAAAAAGGGAAGAAATGTTGCAGAGAAAGGGAGAGGGAATTTTTGAGATTGGATAGAGAGTTTTGCATGAAATGGGAAGTTGGGTATGGGAATTCAAAGAAGAAAAGGCGATGCATATGACAAGAAGAAACCCAGACGGTTCAAAGAAAGTAAAAGGGAGAGAGGTTGCGGAAACTGAGCCTGGTGGTGGAGATACATGGCTATTTTCAAGAACCATGATGAAGCAATGTTCAGCCATATTTGTGGTTTGGGATGGGCGGTGATCGAGATCAATAATTGTACAGACAAGCAAGGATAAAACAATTACACACGAGGCTAGCGTTCGTAGAAGAAAAGGTGCATGAAATTCCGAGATGAAGTTAGGTCCCACGTTAGCCCTTTTGCTGATCAATTATTACTGTAAACGATTGTTGATATTTTTAGTTTATTCATCATTTCATTTTTTTTTTTTGTTCATTTTTCTAAATAACTTAATATTATATATGTGCTTTTTTTTTTTTTTCAAAAATATTATTCATACTTTTTTGAATCTTGTAACAAATAATTCTAACCCAATCAATATGTATCGGATGCGAAATTTTACAACCCAACAAAAATCCACTCCTCACACGCGAATGCAAATCGTTCTTGAAGCCTATATATCCAAACCCTTTCCATGTAAATCAGGACCCAAGCCCATCAAAACCAAAAGCCATGCATTCCGTTTACTACTCCCCAAGGCCCAATTCACCATCAACTAAGCCAATTGTCTGCCCAAATCACACCTCCTAGGGTGATTGGAGGAAGCCTAGTGTCTATATAAACTTTCAATGTTTTTTCCTCGGAGACCAAAAATGGCTTCTGATTCTATTTTATTTCCCTGTCTAGGTAATCCAATTGCAATTTTGCAAAAAGTATGAATTGTCCCTGTCTAGTGCATCCTTCACTAACTGACATTCTGCTATACTTTCCATGCCAGGATAAGAATTTAGCAGGTTCTGAATTGAACTTGTGTAAGCCCTACATTGTTTTGTAATCACTACTTGTTATGAATTGTCCCCCTTGACAGGTTCCATTGTTGGAATCAGAACAAGTAAATACAGTTAATATTTACAAAGATCTCAGTCAGTCATGAATGTACCAACAACCTGCACCTAATTTACGAATATATGCTCTGATAAAAATATTTTATCAATTATTTTATAAAAGATGTTTCATAAATATGAATTTACATATATATATATATATATATATATATATATTCAAAATATGCTGACATGAGATTGGGATGAAATTGGGGTGAGATTGTAGTGTTACAGCAACAATGCAGGAATATATTTGATATTTGATTTCCTTCTTCATGCTTTTGGTATGTCACAAATCGTAATCATATTAGAAAGGTTTTTTTTTTGTTATTTGAGATTTTTTGATATTCGATAATTATTTTAAATTATAATTAATTCAGATTTGAGTTTGAATTGAACCTCATATTAGCAGAAAATTATTCCTACGGGTTGATATATTCTGACTGAGGACATTTACATTTTGTTTAACGAATTTGTATGAATTGGATTAGTTTGAGAAGTTGAATTCAAACAAACCAATAGTTTGATATCTCCTTTCAGTTGCTTAAACACAATAAATAAAAATATTATACTTTTGACATTTATTTTTTGGGTTTTATATTTACTTATGAAAATGAAAAAGCCTCCCTTTACATATAATTACTTTGAAAAGTATTAAAAAATTATAAAGATTAAGACCTATGGTGGAAACATTTTATACATAGAAAATGCTTCCTTTGTTAGTTTATATATATATATATATATATATATATATATATTTATATTTATATTAAAGAGGAGGGATGGACAGTTTTACATTTTTTTAATTATTAATTTTTATAAATTCAATAAACAAAATTAACTTTTTTCCCTCTTTTTTACTTACTTCTTTTCATTAAATTTATTGAAATTAATGATTAAAAAAATAAACTTTTTTAATTTTACACTGATATAAATTAATCATTTCCTATGCTATAATAGGCTATTCCAAAACATCATATTAATATATACAAATTAATTACAACACTTTTTTTAAAAAATCATAATTAAAAATTAATTTGTTTTCTATTATAAAATCATTATTCTAGTCAATGTATTTAAAATATTTATAGTATAATAATACTATTAATGTATAATGTTAATATGAAACTCTACAGCCTGCAATCGATCATCTAGCATGAAGAAAATCTAATTTACATAAAAATTATACAAATATAAAGAATTAAAATTGAAATTTTAACTCTTTATTTATGCATACATACCCTAAACAAGCCCTAAATCACCTTCTATGTTGAACTACGAAACACATTACTGAGTACAGAAACAAAAAGGAACCAAGAAAAAAGCCTTCTACATACAAGAAAAGGAGGGAAGAGTATTTATTCTAAACGGTAAAGGCGGGTCAACCTCATCTGCAGTTATTTCTCGATTAGCACAGGCAATGACCATGCCCTGTTATGGTAAACTAATCAGGAGATTTTACGAGTCGGAGGCAGGATCATGATTGCATGGAATGGGGTGCAGGGGAAAGAATGGTGTTAGCTAGCTCATCGTTCACTTTCACCGGAACAGGTGGCATCTGCTTCATTATATCCGGCATGTCATTCAAGCTGAAAATGGAAGTCAATAAAGCATATAAGAATTGCATTATGATAATCAAGTTTGACAATCCTTAATACTAAACAAGAAATGAGCATCCACTAGCACAATTAGTTCTACAAAATTTATTTGCCCTCTTTTACAATACTCGTATTCAATTAACAAGAATTAATTATCTCGGATTTAAATGGCCATGAATAAGCAAGCAAACTGCCAAAGAAGTTTCCGAATAACATTTTGGTAAACTATATTATATTATCTAGTAAAATTTAGGTGATTCGATCTACACGTTCCTAGGGGTATATAAAAAATAATATTGATGTCCGACAAGACAGTTCAACTGTAGTTAAGAATATTCAGCATACATGAAAACAGAAGCAAACCTGCATACTATCCAATTCTACGACAATAAAGCGAAGAAAAGAAATGAGAGAAAAAACTAACTTGTAGTATGTATAATCCAGGGATAATCCGAGAGACAATCATAAATAGACAAAGTACTGCATAAACTTAAATTATACATGCATGAACATAAACTTGCATCCCAAGCATACCATGCACCTCAGACACCCATGCCTCCACATCCTTGACAGTTAAGAAAACAATGTATGAAATAATATGATCAAATTATCACCAAAAAGAAAGACATTGTCATTAACTTTAACATTATTAAAGGAATCAATATTTTATGACAAAAAGGACTTAATTTTCAATTACTATATATTATAAAAAGGGAAATTTAGCAAAAACTGGAACTTACTCATTCATGATTTTGAGAATGTTGTCACGAGTTTGGCAGAGGAGGACAATATTTTCCTGTATCTGGATAAAGGTAAAGGAGACAAGTTCCATTAGAGACCCACCAAGGCTGAACACATCAGAGCTTTTGGTAAATCCACATGAAGAGCCACAAATCCTATTCACTTTTACATGTTCTCTGTTGCAACTATACAACGAAGATGCTACCTTCAAAGCATTACAGTCCCAGTCACAGCAGATATTAAATTGAGAGACTCTTTAAATTTTTATTAGAATAGGTAAGGGCACAAAGAAAAATCTAAATCCATAGCACTCTCCCTATTCCTTAAACTTGTGAAGAAAATCAATTGGTCATGATGTTAATATCAAAACAAATATTATTCATAGATTCATACCAAGCATACAAAATGCCCAGAGAAACTAAATATAATCTGAGTAAAAGAATGATGCAACCAATTTCACTGTAGAATAACAAATGTTTTTATTTGTTAAAATACATTTGAAGAATACACTTCTTACATAAATAAATGAATCATTCAAGGAACTTCTATTGGCCAAATAGAAATCAAGCACTCCTTTCAATTTTGTCCAATGTTGTAAAAGTTGGAGAACAATGAGAAGTGGTTGGGATAATTCCTTGCTTGAAGACTGGACCTGGTTCTATCCAAACAAATATATATATATTTTTTGCTCTCACTACTTTCTGAGTGCTTTCACATTGAAGCATGAGTATGAATCAAAGAGAGGATTTTGGGTGGGGAGTGTCCCTAGGGTAGATAATTTCATAAAGATAATGCGCTTAATAAAATACTTTACAACAGAATTAATAGAAATGAGAAATCAAGATGTTCCAAAGATAGGGTTAACAGACCTGATACTAGTCATCTGCCCATAAATAAATACATAAAAGCATCGAAAACCTTGAATAAAGTAAAATCGATCTATGCATAACATGAGTACTTCACCTGAAAAGCAGAAAGATTTGCAGATATTTGGTTGAAGGCTTGAGCATTCTGCTCCAGAAGTTCTCCTGTCTCCCCGCCAATGGCTGTGAAGCAGCATAATGCACCTTTCAATTAATTTTCCAATAATAACAGCATAAAAGACAAAAGATTTTCATGCCTAGCAAAATTCAGGCACCATAAATCTAAATTCAAGCTTCATTGTCCACAAAAGCAATAATAAAGAACAGAAAAGGCATTCAATAAGTACTTGCAGCTACTTCCTACTTTTTTTTGTATATTTTAGACATGTCTTGGAACCTTTTTTTCTGTTACTTGCATTCTGCATGCTTCCACAAAACTAAATAGTATCCATGGAAAGAACAGCAAATTTTCCTCTATCGCTTTTCTCATATTCTTTTCTTTATTTGAAATTGTTAGTTTATTAAGTTGAATAGACATAAAAGGGGCACCAACCAAGTCATGCCAAAGAAAGCAACAAAGGCTAAAAAAACAGAAAGAAATGATGCTTCATCAGTGACTGCTGCATTCTTCAAAAGTCCAACATTTTTTTTCAACCAAAAATTTTAACAGCTTTAACAGATGGCTCCGGCTACCAACCTTCAGTCAGCTATAAGAGGTCTGAACAAATATGCATGGCAGGGATCGAATAAATCCCAAACCCAAAGAACATCTAAAGAGAACACCAAAAATCCAATGCAACTAGTGAGGCAATAAAACATGAAATATAAGACTCTGTCTCCCTATCTCAAGACTATGTACATAAAACTTCTTTTAACATAATACTAAATATATGTTGATGAAAAAGAAAACAACAGATTACAGTAAATAAAATTTAAAAAATTTCTGCCTAAACGATAGTACTTTTGAGAAAGTAAAACTTGCATATAAGAATCAACAAAGCACATCTCTAAACCTTGAGCTATTAGGGCTTAAATTAACAATCTTCAAAGATAAAATCCAACCTTTGTATGGAATACCATCATCATAATCCATAGGAATCATTGGGGGTGCATGTGGAGAAAGATTAGGTCGAGCTGCAAAATGAGTAGGCTTTGCTGAAGGATCTGCAACTCTTTCCTGAAAAACAAAAGATATTCCTAAGAATCTATTGGTCCAAAAAATGGTCATAAAATATAAATATTGCCTTGTTTAGCATCATATCAACAAAAGATTACCATGAATTAGCAACTGCAAGAAAAAATGTTTCTTGTTAAATCTAATACATTCCAAGTCTAAATATTTGTAGAGAGCTTTTCATCAACAGACTAAGGACTGCTCCAGTACAAATTTCCCCAAACAGAGGCCCCAAAGAAAAGATGATGGAAAAGACAACCATGGATAATAGTGCAACCATAACGTGATTGGAGTGTATACCACATGAATCTAAGGTAATCAATCAAAATTCCACCAAAGAAACAGCTCCTTAGCAGCAATTACTAATTGAATCTCCATCTAAGATCTTTACCATGAAAAATATAAAATACTTTGCCAAACTCAATAACTTTCCTACGGTCAATGAGCTTCCCTCCACTACCTCACATGCATAAGAGAGTTTTCTAGTGTGAATGGAAGCATTTATTCACATCTCTTCAGATGTGCCCATGTGAAAGAAGAGATAGATGTAGATACGCAGAGTCTGCATGTCAGTGTCACTGAGAGAGATAATTTACTTTTAGCTCATGTCTAATTTTATGCATTCTAAGAAGTAACCAACTGAGCATGCTCATAGGAGCAAACAGAACACAAATAAGTACAACTTTGGACAAAGAAAGAGAGAACCAGTACATCATACCTTTTTGTCTTTACTTTTCCTGGCAAAATTGTGTTCTTCCTTCCTTCTCTTGCTATTTTCCTTTTTCTGCATAAAGCATAAATCAGATCATGCTCTTTTCATACTCACAAACATAGACATAAAAGACATTTTGACTCAGTAAAACAGAATAGATATTGTTTGGACCAAGCAGAAATACTAAATCTTCTGCTGTAGAATTGAAAAATGAAACCATCAAAAAATGAATTGAATCCAATGATTAGAGACTGTATCATTGTAGTAGCATGCTAAAGCCACTTGATAAATATGTTCTACATGTGATTATATATATGACTCTATAATTCTACAAATCTGGCAAACAATAACAAGGGGTTTAAATAGACACATATGAGAGCAGTAAGAATTACAGTCTTCCATCTGCGTACAGTCATCCATCTGCTACGCAAAGCCACATCCCTGACTGTCTTATTTTGTAATTGCATGGCTATCTTCGCATAACAAATTATGCTTGGTTCTGTTGCATATCTGCAAGGAGATACCAAAAAATACAAGCACAAGGCAAGAAAAAAAGCTTCAATTCATTAACCTTGAAAGTGAAGTTGCAGGATTAATTAGCATAAAAAAGACCAATCAAATTAAAAAAATAAAAATTATGTGCTGACAAAAATAGCATGTTCTGGTGCATCCACAAGAGTGTTTATCCAGTATTAGTTAATAAAAAAATGGAGGTAAGGGACTATGGTCTCTCTATCTTTTTTGTCTCCCTCCAGAAATTTAGATACACCATCTGACCAGTAATACCTCCTGATATGGTTGTTTGAAAGACTTGCTTAAATTAGTTTTTTTTAATACCACTATACACTTACAATTAATACTGATCCCATAATTAACCACAGTTAAGGAACGTAATCAACATTTTCATGGCAAAGAACAGAAAAGAAAAAAGATTGGATCATAATGAACCCAGGTTGTAGACTTAATCACATCAGTGACATCTAAATACATTAAATCACTCACTGATTTCCGTCAAATAATTGGCTCAAAGAAATCCAAGCAGATATTGTATTCTACCCAATCCTAGATAACTTACCAATTAGCAAAAAGATTGAGACGCAAAGTATGAAATAGAAGAAAATAAATGCAGAAAATAGTTTTAAAAAAATAAATAAATAAGGAACCCATTTTTAATTTTCCATATCAAATATCAGAGTTTTATAACGGGAAAAAGGTAGGAGAGAATCAGTTCTTTGCAGTTCCTTCCTCAACACGTGCAACAAACTGCATGGACATTTGCCACCTACTTAATTAAGATCTTTGGCAGTTGTCTCAATGCATGATAACACTTCTTATGCAGTTACTTGAGCAATAAATGTTCTCTGCAGCAACAAGGTCCAGAATTTATCACTGATAAAATCGGAAAAAGGCTTCACTTTGGAGCCAATCCAGTTACTGTGTCCAAGCTTCCAAATGCACATGAAAATCCATATTTGCAATATATCTTTTCTTCTTCTATTATTATATAAAACATGAAGCCATATCCCACCAACTTCCACCCTACCCTTCTATAATAAAAGGTCCAAGAGCATTGCCCTCTACCTCCTTACCTATATCTCAACAAATATCTCTCTTCTTCTTTCTTAGCATTTATGAACAGCTCTTCTTGCTTGTTCTTGGCATGAAAAAAGCTATGTTAACAAACATAAGATTTTCAAACAGCATTTAAAACACTCGTTTACAATCTGAATCATATCAATATGCAGAGTGCAACTGTGATAAGTAAATTGGAAATAACACCTCAAAACATAGAAGCGAAAGCTGAAGAGGTATATTTGCAAACACAAACAGAATAAGAATAACCACCATTGATGCATCCCCCATTCCCAACAAAAGAAAGAAACGATAAAAGAAACCAGGCTAGTATGAGCTAATTCAATAAAATGTGGAAAGAACTCAATCGGGTTACTTATAACAGCATGGTTATAACAAAAGATAAAGAAACCACAATTCAGCCAAGAATCTGACCAAAAATAAAACATTCCTAGTATTTGAAATTGAAATTAAAAATTAAAAATTTAAATTAAAGTTTCCAATTTACAAAATAGAATTTCACCAAAAACCCAAAATTCAATGAATCCAAAACAAGGAAAAAGACCCAAAAAAAACTCACTTTTTTAACCCGTCTTCGAGTATAGCTTGGTCTTCTAAGGTCCAATCCAAGGAAATACCAGGGTTATGCTTCATACCCGAACCCGAGCTCTCGGGCATAGGATTCCCGTTGTTCAAGTGTGCTCCATTGAAAGAAGATGACGCATGATTTGCTTGTTGTTGATGGTTCCCCGGTGGGATGGCCATCAGTTTTAGCTTCAAAAATCTCCGATTTTTACACCCGTTTTTGAGGTTTTACAGAAGAGAAAATGGAAACAAAAAGGAAAAGAAAACAGAATTCTAAGGAAGGAGAAAGTCGGTTCCTTCCCGCCAAAAAAGACGCAAAACCCAGATTAGAAATAGAGAGAATTGTTAAAGATTGAGAAAATAAAAGAGAATCCAATGACAAGGAACGAAACAGAGTACGGGGTATTAGACTGAAGGGAGCTCTAATTGTAATTGAATTAGCAAGGGAAAGGAGAGAATGAAAGGGAAAACGGCAACCGGACGGAAGGATTCAAGAGAGAGAGAGAGATGAAGGTGGAGAAGTGTTAATGGAACTGAGAAAATAAAATCAAAATCATTTGAGAACGTTAATTGGGGGGTTTTTGATTTAAAGTTTCCAAAGCTTAACGTACAGTTCTTACATTATTAACTTCTTTGTTTTTCTTTTCTCTTTTTTTTTTTTAATATTTTGATTTATATTCATTTGCCAGCTTTGAATCTTTGTCGTTTTTCTTTCGGCCGACTTTGGAAACTACTCCCTCTGTCCCAAAAAACATTGCTAATGTTTTAAATTTATGTTTTTTTTAATATTTAAATTTTTTTTATATTTTAAAATTTTTTATATTTTAATATTAAAAATCACTAAGTTTTAAAGTTTTTAATTTAATATTAAATAATAAAAAAATTTTAATTTCGCAAAAATTAATGCCATTCAAACAATTAAATTATTGTTTTGCCCCTTTGCATAATAGTTGTGTTACAAAATTGAAAATTTTTTAATTTAAAAAAATTACTCCTTATGTTTCAAGTTGATTGAATAACTTTCATAATGTTTTAATATATTTAATATTAAAATTTAAAATTTTTTATTCAATTAAAATTTTATGATTTTTAATGTTAAAAAACAAAAAAAAATTAAAATATAATTTTAAAATATAAAATTTCAAAATTTAAATATTAAAAAAATAAAATATAATTTTGACATATCTCATAAAAATAAATAAAAAATGAGACGAAAAGAATATTAATTTACAAATTAAAATAGTGAATCTAGCACAATTTTAATTCAAATTCTACTACTTGTAAATTTTTTTATTTCTAAATTATAATTTTTTATAAAAAAATCCACGACATATGCACATATTGATATATATATATATATATATATATATATTAAAATGATATTAATGTATTGTGATATATTGACATTGATGTATTTTTGACGTATCATTTAGGGTTTGTTTAAAATCGTTTTTAATCTTACATAGATAGCATATTTATTTAAAATTCCAAATATATAACCTTAGAGTTGTGTCACCAAGATTTCTTACCTAAAACAAATATAATAAATGCAAATGGATTTTTTTTTTTTTTAATTTTCATATGAGCACAATCGAGTCTCCACAAAATAGGGTTGAAAAAGGAATAAAAAAACATCCATTCCATAATTTGGGTAGTTGGAAATTGAAATCAAAATGACAAAGACAGATTGTTCATTTTAATATCATTCCAATTTGACTTGAAATTGGCTTGCAAAAATGTCTTCATTTTGGCCATGGGACACCCCATACTTGTCAGTTCCCAATTATTGGACTTATTATAAAATTTTTTAAAAAATTATTATTTTTTTCTTTATTGTTTGAGAGTTGATATTTTTGGACTTTTCTTTACCTTTTTTGTTGTAAATTTCTTTAATCAAAATGTTGTTTAAGTAATTTTTTTAATGAGAGATTGCATGTATAAATAAATATTATAACTACAATCAAACAATTTTATTTCAAGCATTTGTACCAATTTCTTATATGATAGTTTCTTTTTATTTATGAAAATATTTTCAATATGGTCATGATATTCAATTTTTTCTCATATTTCCATATTTTGTACTTTTTGCATGAAAATAAAAAGAATTTAAGAACATGAAAATTATATGAATTATGGATTAAACAGGAGTGAAACCCAAAAAAACATAAAGGAAATTAATGAATTTAAGGCATTCTCTTTTTTTTTTTGTTTAATTTCTCGACCCAATTAAACTAACACTTATTAATAAAAAAATGGTATGATATAATCAGGGTAAAATCCAAGAGCTAATGAGATGAAGAGTTGAAATAAATGGGAAAAAAAATGTGTGGAAAATGGGCTAATTGATATCTAGTAAGCCCAAAGAATGAAACAACAATAATGGGCCTAAAAGTAAAGAGGGAAAACAACTCTGGACCAAACAGTAAAAAGAATAAAAGGCCAAGGAGTTCAGTTATGGCCCAGAAGGTAGGAGCTGATCTCTCTCTATCTGAAATAAAGAAATTCTCATTTCAGAAAAAAAAATTGCATAAAAATAAGTAAAAAAAAAAATATTAAAAAAATATATAAGTTGAACAAATTTAGCTTTCATTTGGTTTTAGTCCAAAATATAATAATTTTAATAATTTTTTTATAATCTCTTAGATATATAATATTATTAAATGCTCATTTCCATAAATTTTATATCTATACTTGTTAGATTTTTCTTTTTATTTATTGTCTTCCTCATAAAAACTGGCTGAATTGGTTATTTATTCATCATTTCAGGTAAAGGTGGAAAAATAGTGGGTTAGGTATGGCATTTGAATCATTTAAAATTTGGATAATTTAGAATTTAAATTCTTTCAAATTCAAATTTGTTTAAATTAGAAGTTTGAATTTCTTCAAGTTCGAGTTAGGATATTTGATTTTTTTTTTTTTGTAAATTTGAAATAGAATTTAATAATCATGATAGAGCAAAATTGATTGGACTTTTATACTTAAGAATTAATATTGCGAGGTTAGCTTCAATTTCAACTCCAAATTGGATTTTTTATTTTTTTATTTTCTTTGTAATATTTAATTGTACTTTGGTGGTCAAATATTATGCTCAAACTTCGCCAATTCCAGCCTAGCCAACGTATATAAAGACAAAATAAATAAAGGAAAATGGTCGGTCATTTGCAGCTAATTATACATGTTGCTTCTTTAACTAATTTCTTGGTGAATGCAAAATGCTTTTATGCTTTGATCATCAATAAAGCAGTGTCAGTAATTAAGCAAAACCAATTTGATCATCAATAAATAACTCAATGATCAGTGGCTGGGACGACATTCTAACAATTATAACTTTTTCAAAACTCCATTTTGAAAGTTTCAAATTCGAATGAGACGGATGATATTAGATTTATAGGATAAGAGAAAGTTATCATTATTATTATTATTATTATATAGCTCAAAATCTTTATATACCAAAAATAAAACTTGATAGTTATATATTTTAATGGCATCTGTTAAAAATTTTAAGATCTTGAATATCAATGGAGCAAAGTTATGAATAGCAAAGAAAATCTTTTTTGCATCAGTTTCAAATGTCATTAAAATCCAATTTGATGAGATTTAGAAAGTTCATCTAAAATGATTGATAAAATTACAGTTGATTATATCGTGATGAAGCTTTTTTTTTTTCTTTTTATCATAAGTATAATTGCACCTTATGTGATGTCCAATTTTAGGTTATATAGCTTGTTGATTTATTTTTTTTAATTTTTTAATTGATTTTTTATATTGAATGTATTATTTATGTCATATTGGTGAGTATTATTTGATTTGACGTAAATTTAATTTTTTTTTAGATAATACAATTAAAGGTATCTTCAAATTTTGTTTGAGTCCAATTCTCCATTTGGACAATCAAGGCAATTTGTAAATGAATGTAATCTCATTAAAGAAATATTATAGTGTATATATATATATATATACAAGAAGTTTTAACAGAAATAGGGAATCCAAATCATAGACTTTAAATAAATCTTAATTAATAGGGATAACAATTGGTAGGTCAAGTTCATAATTGATAATTCATCAATCATCGCCAAGTTTAGCATTGGTTAACGAGTACTTCGCATCCCACACCACATTTTTTTTTTTTATCATTTTTGGATATCTTAAAAAAGTTTTTGGATCACAAAAATTTGTTTGTAGTAAAATCAAAAAAGCCCCAAACCCAAGGCCAAAATCACATGCATTCACGTTCCTTGCTATCAATCGTAATTGCTTAACAGCATAGCATAGAAACACCTAGGTGCATGTGAACAGCCAAATTCTATACACATTTGCTTCACTCTTACGGTGCCTGGTAAAAGGATCAAAGTTCCAAAATTAAGAAAAAAATTTTTTTTTTAATTTATCCGACTTGGCGATGTCCGTCAAGACATGTGGCAAATTGATAAACTTGAATCTATATAAGCTTTACCCTTATTATGAGAAGATATACAAGCTTGGTGCATCTTAGGGTTTATTTTTGAAGTGGGAGAGAAAATGAGGAGAGAAAGGCTTGAGTTGGTTTTCCCACTGTTAGCTCTTGCACTGAGCTTGTGCACGGTGGATGTCGAGGCCGCGACGTCGTTGCAGCCGCCGGTGAAGCTGGTTTGGCATTACTATAGGATGCATAATAGGTGTCGTGAAGCAGAAGTTTATGTCCGGCACGAAGTAGAGTTGTTCTATAAAAAAGATAAAACTATTGCACCTAAGCTTGTTCATTTATTATATTCGGATTCTTTCGTAACTGTAAGTATTTTTATCAATTAAGCACGCTTTTTTTCATTCTTTTTATTTATATTTCGATTTTTCAGCTAGCTACCCTTTTTTTTTTTCCATGGATAGGATCATAGGAGATAGAAAATAGTGATAATAAAATTCGAATTCTCACTTCATATGTCTTTTTAAATCTTTTTAAATTTTCTTAATAATTAAATCAAGAAATTGAAGGCAGTAATTATTTTTTTCAATTTTAATAATTAATTTTCCTATGACAAAATTTTGTTCTTATTTATGAGATCCGAGGCTTAAATAATTGTGAAGTACTAGTAATAAAAAATTTTGTTACTTTTAGGAGATGTAGATTATCAAAAAGCTGAATTAGATTTTTGGTGCTAGTAATTCATTCTTTAATCCTACTATGCTAAGGTCCTCTTGTATCAAAAAATAAATTTTTTATGTAAATATAAAAATGCAAAATTATTTTTCAGCGACACATATTAGGTTCGGCTTTTTTTTTTTTCGTTGTTTTTTAATCAATTATTTATTCGAAACACCTTTAATTATCATTTATGATTATGACTTTTTCAATTATGAGTGAATTTTAAACATGTAAATGGCAATTAAAAATAAAATATATATTTGATGCATTATTAGTTTATAGATTTTATATACTGTCAGTGAATGGAATGATGTCATCTCATTAATTAAATAAATTAGATGATGTTATCTCATTAATGAATAAATTTTTTAAAAATTTTAATTTTTATATATTTATTTTAAGGATTGATATTTGCTCATTAATAAGATGGTATTATTTGATTTACTAATAATGTATAAAATTTATACATTAACAATGTATTAAATATAAACTCTTAAAAATATATTAAAAAGTCTTGAATAGAAAATAGTTGAGAGAAGTCTAAGGAGAGGCATGCTAATAGTACTAACTCTTACCCATTCACAAATTTCAATTCTTGATTTTTTTTCAATGTTTAAAATTAGGGAACACCTGCACCAATATATGAAGGCAAAGTTTTTACATGATTTATTTCTTTTAGAGCCAAATGCTCCATATCTAGTAATTTATATGTTTCAGTTTCAGCTTGTATTTCTAAATTTTAATGTTGTACCAAAAAATTTATTAATTATGGTTTTATAAGCTTCATGCATATGACAAACTGATCTGATTTAAGTTTTAACAAGTAACAGCCATGGAAAAACAACTTGGTTAGCTCATCTTGTTGATGGAATTGTAGGGGTGTGATGGTTCAATCCTCCTAGATGGCCCTAATTCAGAGAAGACTGCACCGCAGAACATGGGACTGGGAGGGTTCGTATATATCGACAAGATTAAAACCGTTCTTGAAGATAGGTGCCCTGGGGTCGTTTCTTGTGCTGACATTCTCAACCTTGCTGCTCGAGATGCTGTTCACTTGGTATAAATCCCTATCCTCTCTCTTTCTTCTGGTATACATGCAAAATATATTTATATGCATTTTAACATATACTTGACCACATATAATCGTGATTAATTTATTTCATCGAATGACACTAATTTCCGGATGAGTTTGTCAAAGATATCGAAGCCTCCTAGGGTTGAAATACACACTCAATAGGGCTTGTTACTTGTGTCGAGATTTTTATTTTGTAACTTAATGTTTGCCTACTGTCAGTTTGATTTATTTTTATAAAAAAGGTCACAATCTAAGGATAAAAAAAAAATTGGATTCGTTAAATTTTAAACTGTAAATTTACTAAATGTCATATTTTGAAAATAAATGTACAAATTAATTAGCCAGTTCATTTGATAATTCTATTTATGTTGTATAATTAATAGATCTATTACTAGAACATGCTCAAAGGTAGCCACCCTCAACTTAAAACGAATCTATATAGGGCAGATTGTTGTTATAAAATCATTAACTAATGAAATCCAAAACTTTATTTAATTAATTTGTACAACAACAAATATGATATTTGAATTTTAATATCTTTAAACCTTTTCGACTACGCTCGTGTGAAAAAAAAAAAAAAAACTAATGATGTGATGGATCAACAGGCAGGAGCACCATCTTACCCTGTATACACGGGGCGAAAGGATGGTATGACATCTACCGCAGCATCCGTTGATCTCCCTTCACCATCCATCTCGTGGGAAGCTGCCCTAGCATATTTCACATCAAGAGGCTTGGACGTGTTGGATATGACAACGCTTCTAGGTAAAACCACTAAACCATAGTTAAAAAACCCTCAGTACTTCCAAAAAAGAATACTAGCCAACATCCATGAGATCGGTTCATAAAATATTAAATTTTTAGTTTTAGTACTTATGATTTAAATATTGACAGTTTCAAATAATAATAATAACAATAATAATAATAATAATCTTTTCTGGCTGCTCTTTCGTTGGCAAATCCATAATCTAAGTAAACTAATTGGATGGTAATGGGTTTCAAGGACTCTTAATAATGCTTCCTTCTTTCTACTTGAGTTCTTACGTTTCTTCGATGTCAGGAGCACATTCCATGGGGAAAACACACTGTAGCTTCATTGAGGATCGGCTGTACAATTTCAATAATACAGGAAAGCCAGACCCAAGCATGAAGGCATCATTCTTGGCAGATATGAGAAAGCAATGTCCACCGCGATTAAAAAAGGACCAAAGCAACCCGATGGTATTTCTAAACCCAGCATCTGGATCCAAATGTAATTTCACCAACTCCTACTACTCCAGAGTGTTAACCAATGAAGCTGTCCTTGGAGTTGATCAGCAGCTACTCTTTGGCAATGATACTAAGCAAATCACCCAAGAATTTGCCTCTGGCTTTGAAGATTGGAGGAGATCATTTGCTCTTTCCATGAGTCGAATGGGAAATATCAAAGTTCTAACTGGAAAGGATGGCGAAATACGCAAAAATTGCAGATTTACAAATAAAAACTATCCTAGTAAAAACTAGGAGAGTCACTCTGCTGGGGGAGGAATGATTCATAATCATAAAAACTATAGGGATGATTGTTATTGAAATGCCAAATGTCTTGGATTAAGGTACAGCAGAATATCAATAAAAAAACATAATGGAGAACTCTTTTCTCTCCAAAAATAAGTTGTATAATTTGTTCAATCCTGACCTAAATTGTCCCATAGAAAAGCTATAAGTTCAATTACCTAATAACAACTACACAGCATAATTTTCTGTCTGTAAATTCATGTACATAAAAGTAAGAAAACAAAATTGTTGATGCACAGTTTAACATTTAGATATACAAAAGAATTTAAATTATATAAAGGTAAAAAGCCAAATCGCACTCGCCTAACCTGGGAGAGCTTACCCGTGATAGCTAATGAACCTAGAAAAGATGGGAATTCTTACCATTTTCGTCTTTCTTCCACCTCCAAAATGAGGAAAAGGAGAAAACTGTGCAAGCTACATCACAAACACGATGCCAAAAAAGAGTAAAAGCAATCTTAATCGTGGTTTCCCTATTATTCTGCAAACATTCTTAAATAGAATCCTGGTTTTTACCCCCTTCTTTTATCCTCCCAACACAAGTGAAAAGAAGGGATAGAAGGGGCTGGCAGAAGGTGAATGTTATTATTTTGATGCAAATAAATAGATTCCAATGATAATTCCAAAAGACAGTCAAGAAATTAAATTTGCATTAACGAAATGTCCAATAACTCTAAGCAGAACCAAAGGCCTGTTTAATAATTATGGCACCAGACAAGCATTAACTCAAGGTAAAGCTAGTGTTTAGATTCTCCATAAAGTGGGATTATATCATACTACAACAATGGTTATCCTAAGCACCAAACTGCTGAGACTAAGAATGC